GGAGAAAAAACATTCTAAAAGTTGTTACTTTGCATATTTTGTAGCATTGTTTGTGGGTTTGCAAGAAGGTCCTTGGCCAGTGCTAATGCTGTTTGGGGTGTATGAAAAAGTTTTGGAACCCCTCATCTAAAATGTAATTACAGTCAGACAAAGCAGATTTTATGTTAGAATGACCTGCCATACATCTACAGACTGAGTGACTGACTGAGCGTGTGCCACTGTGCTTGTGCATTACTCAATCGGAAGGAAAAGTAGTTCCCTCCAACCATATGATTAAGACAKGATTTGAATAGTTTAGTTATTTTCCACTATTTTTCTGTTAATGTTTTACATTATGTGAAAAAACTGAAGTYTCAAAGTATCAATATTTTGATTTTAGTATTGATTCTAGAGCATAAAGTTCTGGTATCGGTAGTATCAATATTTCAGTACTGAACTGCACATCACTAGTTGAGTGTTGTTTCAGTTTACAAAGTTACAAATTRACAAACACCATGAGATTGAACTTTTTTGTCTAATTCAGATGAGTCTTTGCTTTTATATATGCTSTATTTTATGTTGAGTATAGAAAGTCACTTAAATAAGCATTTAATATATTGTATATTTTTACTTTAGTAAACTATTTTACACAGACTTTGGTAATATGAAACTAAAAAATCAGAGTAGACACTTGGGAGTCAAAAAGATCCGGCTCAACTTATTGAGCCGGTCCAAAAGAACCGACTCTCTAAAACGGCCGTAATTCCCATCGTTAATTTGTTTAGAGCCCCCCGTAAAGATGGTCTAAAATAATTATTCACAAACTGTATTCTTCACAGATGACGTGCCTCCTTATTTCAAGACGGAGCCGGTGCGCAGCCAGCTCCACCTGGAACGAAACAGGCTGGTGCTGACGTGCATGGCTGAGGGAAGCTGGCCGCTGGAGTTTAAATGGATCCACAACAACACAGAGTTAACYCGCTTTTCACTGGAGTACAGGTGAGTCCTAATAAATGACACATGTATGTTTGCATCTTAATAAACCAGGTGGAAAAAAATGTAAGGAAAGTTTACTTATATGACCCTCTTGCATTTTTTAAATGTAGTTTAGTTTTTTCCTGATTGGTCGGACCAGATGAGCTTAATGTTTGACTCGGTTATTTTAAAATGTTACTTGGGAACAAAAAAAGGAAAGGGATACCTAAAGTGGTAACACTTTCTTTTACGGTATTACCATGTAATTACAAGGTAATAAAAATGTAATTAAATTTAATTACTACCTTATTACCATGTAATTACGTGGTAATTGGGGTGCAATTTTGCTATAATTAATTGTCTGCATTAATGAAGCACTTACCTGGTAATGTATTACAATTCATTATGTAACACCTAAATAAGTAGTAGGTAATTTGGACAGTTTTAAAATGATATTTTATTGTAATTAACCACTAACCCCAAAATTTAGTTGCATTCTTTTGGTTATAAATATAGTGTTGAGTTACTATTGAAAAGTAATTTGATTGTAGTTACCAATAAAGGTAGTTTTACTAACAGTAGTTTTTCTTTTGTACCGTAATTACCATGTAATTACATGTAATAAGGTAGTAATTACCATTTATTACATTTTTATTACCTTGTAATTACATTGTAATAAGGGTGCCGTAAAACAAAGCGTTACCCCCAAAACTTTCCACCCAAAAAGGACAAAATGATCTGATGGCTGTGGGCCAAATCCAGTAATATAATACATYAAATGCAAATACCTTTTACGTAAAGTCCTTTTATTTTTTTATATTTAAGTTAGCAGCCAGAGTGCTGCTCCGCATTTTGTTTATTTTTCTCAGCTCGTGCACTTACAGAAAGTTTGTTCACTCGAGCAGCAAAGGATCATGGGACATTTCATAAATTGATAAAAACTGAGTGTTTTAGGTCTTATAAAGTGTGCTTAAATCTAATTTAAATGCCTCTTGTAGTTAATAATGATTCTAATATAATATAATTTAAAAACAAAGGGCCGATTTTGGCCCACGGACCCCACTTTGGGCACCTCTGGTTTAAACTTCTCGTGTACATATGCAAAAAAAGAAACTTTACATTCTATTTAGATTATTACTTTTATCTCTTGTGTGCTGCTGATCCTTTTAAATAAGTATTATCTAAGATTAAGGCACAATTAAATCTCCAAGCATTAAAGCTTTTTGTCAACTTGAAATTCTCGGTATTTATCCGTCTACACACCAGGACGAAATAAACATTTTCAAAACAAGTGTTACTGTTTCACCAAGCAGTCTCCAAATAAATCAGTGTTTTTTTCCCTTTTCTCCATTGCCTTTGCCTGACTCCTTCCCCTCTCAGCTCTGTGACCTCCATCAGTGTCTGTGGAGAGGCTGCAAACAAGCAAAAGGCATGAATGAGGGTTAGGGCAGCAGATAAACTGTCTTTAATGGTAACTGGAAGATCCTAATCATGTGGCAAACATCGCTCTTATCTCAGAGAGCAGTGTGTCTGCAGCGAGAGCTTCCTCGGCGGTGTAAATGGAGCTCTGGAGGGTTGAAGGAAAGCTTGCTGACACACAGCTGATCTTAGCTGAACTGGTGTGCTCATGTGCGAGGAAGACAATGAATGTGGAAAACAATGGAGGCCGGACGTACAAGCAAGACCAGCCTAGTTGATGGGGGCGCCTTTTTTCTGAAGACAGATAAGAGCGGATTGGAAGCGGTCACAGGGTAGGAAGGGCGGAGTGACACACGGAACAATTGATCAGCATGGACTGAACTTGAGGAGAGGTTTGGTGCCTCTTTGCTTCTGTTACTGGGTGAACGATCAACAAGAACGAGTTATTAAACACTTCAACAACACAGCTTTGCAAGATTCTCCGTGACTATGTCTAAAGTACAAATTAAAAACAATATTTGACTTTAAAGCTGCACAAAACTAAAAAAAAAAGAATCGTTTGAATATTTAAAAATAGAATATGTGGATTACTTACGAGCAGTCAGTATCTTACCTGCAGCAGACAGCGGTCACATGATCTCAGTTTGAAGATTTTCCTGGAGAAATCGAGACATTCTCAGAGCTGCTTCATCTAAAACAACATAGCTTACATGTTTCTAAGAAATGGGAGAAAACACCGTGAATATTTTTACACATGAACACTTGAGTGAGGACATTATTTGTCTCAATCGAGTGTCAGTGTGCCTAATGARTAATTATTTGCACAGAAGCCTTTTCCAGAGATCAACTGTTACTCATTATTCTGTCAGTCTAATCCCTAAAATCAGTTCTAGTTTAAAAAAAAGTACTGTAAGATGATTGTGATGTTTATTTACAGTTTAATGTTGGGTCAAATCATAGCTTTTCGTATATGTTCTTATCTATTTCACTGAGTTCAAAATGTCTATTTTTTGTCCTATAACTGTATACTTCTTGCAAATAATGTGGAAATATAAAAGAGGCACAACCTAAYTCTGTAAATTGTATTTGGAATGTCTGAAAGCACCAATCAGTATAGAAATACTGACTGAAGAAGTTGATTCAAGGTCGGATCCTTTAGTCTASACTATGGGCTGAAAATAATAACGCAGAGCAATTTTTCCATACCTATAATTTTGTACTGGTAAATGGAAACATAAAATGAGGCAGTTTTATGTATTTGTTATGTAAAGATCAAATCTTACAGCATGTGCATCAACAACAAACTATGCCCAGAATATTGTAAATAATGRAGTTTGATTTGTACAAAAAAATTGGAAGTAGTTAGACATAAAATAAGATTCCTAATTAGAACAGATAGGCTGTATTTAATCTAGGCTTACACAACATTTATTTAGTTAATTATTGCAGTCAATGAGAGTGTTTACACCACRGGTGCAGGGCAGCATACAGTCACCCAGTAAAATTCGACTCAATTCTCTTTTTGCACGAAGGCGGAGCCAATTCGGAGTCAATCTGCAAAGATCACACCAGTGCAACAGGAAAATTAAKGAGCACAACATCACTATTTAACAAAAAGCAAATCTCACCAGCTGAAWTTGTAAGCATATGTTGCAATTTTTTTTCCTCAATTGAACCAAGTCTACCAAACTATCAGTGATGAAGACACCATTAGAAGTAGATATCTTTATTTTCAAGCCAAAAATGCTCATTGGGATGACAAAGAGTCTGTTTGGACCAWTTTATAGTATAGATGGAACGATTTGAAATTGTCCTATTTGAAAATAATGGAGATGGGATAAATGGCTCTTTGAAGAGATCTGGATCTTGGGGAGCCGTTTGTTTCATAGAGCCGTTCAAAAGAACRGTTCGATGTTGAACGAGTTACATCATCACATAGGGAAATCCCTTCCCCGTGTGTTTCTGTACTCCACTGCTCTGCCTGTTTTCCATGGAAAAGCAAAGCGGGAGCAATTTAAGGATAAAAAAAAAAGATTATATGAGGAATAAAAGAAATACAACCATAAATGGCTRATTACTGCCCAAGATTCTCCTACCATTCGTTGTAAAGAGCCGTTCAAAAGAGTTGAATCGTTCGTAAACATCACATCTAATTGGGATTTTAAAAATGAAAAACCAATTACAAAACCTGGTGGATCTGCTGGGGAAGTTTGAGTTGTTGCAGATGGTAGAAACAAGCACTTGAACGGAGTCATGTTTTTCATACAGCTGTAGCTTCACTTTGAGAATTATCAGTTTTCAGAGCTGATATTCTACTGACCAGACATACCGTATTTATTCAAGTATAATACGTAAAATTAAATCCATAAAATCATCCATAAAGTTGGGGGGTAGTATTATACTCGGATAAATATTTTTACTTATCTATTTTAACTGAAATATCGGCTTRATTCACAAAATGCCTGAGTCCGGAAATGAGACCGCGTCGTAAAAAGCAATCGAAACGAGCTTACCTCTGACACTCCTTCGTGCTTCAGAGCGAGATAATAACAGATCCAGGCAGGCGGCATGAAGTGGAAAAAAAGAGTATTCCAGCGCCTTAGTAATGATAACGAACTAATAACATTAGCGTGTCACCGGGCCGCTCCTCGAACAACAACAAACACATGTTCGTCTGTAATGGCTGCCGTCTACCGGTGTTCTGAAAAGATTTGTATCCCTGAAAAAATGTTTCCACACCAGAGGGGGCGCTCGCGAGTAGGAAGTAATCAGCTTTTCCCCCACAAGATGGCCCAAATCTTACGTGAAGTCTCTGACTTTTGTGTTGGCGCCTCCTGGTGGACTATGTGTAAAATGCCAGAATTCATATGATGCGGCTACAGCTGATATATATTTGTTGTCAAAATACCTTTTAGTACATATGTTGTTAAAATAAAATGAACAGTCCAATGATCATTTTACTGATATGTATAAAGACTGCAAAGGCTGAAAAATTGAAGTCTGTATGAAATTGGAGGTAGTTTGAGGATTAAATAATTTTTATACTTTTTAAGCTCAAAAAAGGAAGGGTCATRTTATACATGAGATCGTATTATACACGAATAAATACAGTAATCACAACCCCAGTTTTAACTAAACCAAAGTCCCTTTTATCAAAACTCAACCCCAGTTTTCATCAAGTCACTTTATATTTAATCAAACACATTTTTTATGCTAAACTACCAACRTGCTGCCTGGATTTATTGTGTGCTTAAAGACTATAAAAGCAACTTCCTTCATGCAAAGTGGCATTGTGTYTTTGTGTTGTTTGCCTGCACACTCCTACTCCTCGTTCCTTAAGATTCTTTGTGCCAGGAAAGGATTTGAGCTGAGCGGACCCCCATATTAATGAGGTTATGGATAAGGTCCCAGTGCTGAGTGCTGCTTTAAATATTGACACCGTGCGACTTGACCTTGTGTCCTCTGGCAGGCGATCAATACTGCAAGGCCTGCGTGGGCATTATTATTCAACATGTAGGTGTGTGTGTGTGTGTGTGAGAGAGAGAGAGAGGAAGACAGACTGTTTTAGAAGAGGGAAGCGATTCGAGCCGTTTTAGCAATCGGCT